ACATGAGAATAGCTTGAACCGGGGAGGCGGGGATTGCAGTGAGCCAAGATTGTACCACTGCACTCCAGCCTGGGCAACAGAGTGAGACTCTGTCTGATGAAAGTCTCATTACCTGGATGATGGGTGCACAGATAGATTATAATGCTTCCTGCAGGCAGGACCCCACTGAAGAAAAGTTGTATCCCTGATGTTGCACATAGCAATATGTCACAATGGCCCATGAAGGCAGGACACATAACCAGGGGGCGTCACAAGCAGAAGAGTCACATAACCAGGGGGCGGAGCTTAGCAATGTCACAATGCTGCACAGTGGGCAGTGCTGAGGCAAAAATACAGAGTCACACCACCAAGGTGTTGGATTCAGCAATGTGTCACAATCTAATCTGCAGGCTAGGTACAAGGCAGCAGTCAAATCACTCAGGGCTTGGCCAAGGGGTCTGTCGCAATCACAGTTGCAAAAAATGTAGAAATGAACTTAAAAATCCCACGTCCTATTTCTAAGTATTAGAGTCAATACATTTTGTATGTTCAGTCTAAGTACACGTGAGTCACAGTCTCAAAGGTGGATTGGAAACATGCATGAGAGCCTCAATCTTTGCTGCAGACTGTGTCCCTTAATGGACTCACAGCCTCTCAGGCATGCTGAATCTTGGTCTGAGTGTCACCAACCCACATGTGAACATAATTCACATGAGGGTCAATTTTCCCACTTTTGGCTATCTCACATCTCACTCAGATGTGAGAGTCAGAACTTCTACATTGAGCTGTGTTCATGTGAAAAGTTGACAATTTTTTTACTGTTGGCTGAGTTTGCATATGAGAGTCATAATGTCACCTGTGTGCTAGGCCCTGAGTGCTTTAAACAATAGGCACGTACCACCTGAGTGCTTTATACAATAGGCATGATAGTCACGATTTGTTCTGAGACTTTTTTTTGTCTTTGTGGAGACAGAGTATCACTCTTGTTGCCCAGGTTGTAGTGCAATGGTGTAGTCTCAGCTCACTGCAACCTCTGCCTCCTGAGTTCATGCTATTCTCGTGTCTCAGCCTCCCAAGTAGCTGGGACTACAGGCACACACCACCAGCCCCCTTAATTTTTGTATTTTTAGTAGAGACGGGGTTTCGCCATGTTGGCCATGCTGGTCTTGAACTCCTGACCTGAGGAGATCTACCCATCTCAACCTCCCAAAGTGCTGGGATTACAGGCATGAGCCACCGTGTCTGGTCAAGACTTTCCAGCTGAGGCTTTTTTTCTAATACAAACTCATAATCATACCTGTGGATCTAAGCTCATGTATTAAAGTCAACATCTTTCCAATTGTCTGGGTCTAGAGAAAAGAGCCCTTGGCCAGGTGCGGTGGCTCACACCTATAATCTCAGCACTTTGGGAGGCCGAGGCGGGTGGATCATGAGGTCAAGAGATCGAGACCATCCTGGTCAACATATTGAAACCCCATCTCTACTAAAAATACAAAAATTAGCTGGGCATGGTGGCATATGCCCGTAGTCCCAGCTACTTAGGAGGCTGAGGCAGGAGAATTGCTTGAACCCAGGAGGCAGAGGTTGTGGTGAGCCGAGATCACACCATTGCACTCCAGCCTAAGCAACAAGAGTGAAACTCCGTCTCAAAAAAAAAAGACTTCACCTGCCTATGAGCTGGGTTTAGAAATGAGTCACCATCTTAACTGCTGTCACATGATTACATATGACAGTCACAATTTTTACTGTGGACTCCATTCACATGTGAAATTCAGGATCTCCCAGTCAGTGTGCTCTATGTGTGAGGGTGTCAATGTTAACATTTGATAGGTTCTGGATATGAGAAACACAGTCTCACCTGTGTTCTTGGCCCTATCATAACACTCTCTGTACTGTCCAAAGACTACATACAAAAGGTAAAGGAATGGTAATCCTTTATGATGTTCTTACCTAGAGAAGACCCAGGACTTTACCCATTTCTCTAAGTCTAGCTACGAGCACCAGTATCTCTGCTGTTGACTGGTTTGTGGTATGAGGATCATCAACACAACAGTGAGCTGGGCGAAAGTATATGACAGAATCTAACCTGTCAGTAGAAAGTAAATAGGAGAGTAACATCACCTGTGTGCTGGGTCAGAAATATATCATAATTTTTCAGGACAGGGACCAGGCAGGAGAGTCATATCACCTGGTTAACTGTCCAGGGTTATGTTACAATTCCCTCTCCAAAGCAAGGCGCAGACAACAATCACGTTACTTGGATACTGGGACCAGCTATGTCACAATTCTCTCTGCAGGCAAGGTCTGGGCACAAGAGACACAGCACCTGGCTGCTGAACCCAGAGGTGCATCACAGTCTTCCTGCAGGCATGGTGCAGATGGAAGAAGAGAGTCATTATCTCCAAAGTAATGGATGCACAGATATGTCACAAGGCTTCCTATAGACAAGGCCCAGGCAAGAGCTTTTCACCCATTTGGTTTGACCCAGCGATATGTCAAAATACCCACCATACAAGAGGCCCAGGTTAAAGAGAAGAGTGGTGACATCACCTAGATGTAGAGTCCAGTGATATGCCACAATCCTCCCCTTTTACAGGGTTCAGGTAGAAAAGAAGAGTTACGGTTGGGCACGGTGGCTCACGCCTGTAATCCAAGCACTTTCGGAGACCGAGGCGGCTGGATCACAAGGTCAGGAGTTCAAGACCCGCTCAAACTCCATGTTTCACCATGGTCAACATGGTGAAACACTGTCTCTACTAAAGATACAAAAAATTAGCCAGTCATGGTAGTGCGTGCCTGTAATCCCAGCTACTTGGGAGGCTGAGGCAGGAGAATCGCTTGAACCCAGGAGGCAGAGGTTGCAGTAAGCAGAGATTTTGCCATTGCACTCCAGACTGGGCGACGGGGCAAGACTCTGTCTCAAAAAACAAACAAACAAAAAGAAGAGTTACATCACTTAGGTAACAAACAAAAAGATAAGTCATAATTCCTCTATTAGCAGGGCTCATGCAAGAGAGTCACATCACCTAGGTGTTGGACCAGCCATATTTTAATATATACAATTTGTTTCCCCTCGGTGTTAGTGAATTATGTATTGTATATATTGAAAATTGTGTATATTTTTAAAAATGGCTGGGTCCAACAACTAGGTGATGTAATTTTCCTGCATGGGTCCTACTAATGGAATTATGACATATCTTTCTGTTTCTCCTCTAAGTGATGTGACTCTCCTTTTCTCCCTGAAACCTAGAGTAGGAGAGGAGAGTCACATCGCCAAGGTGCTGGGCCCAGTGATAAATCACAATCCCTCCTTGGTCAAAAACCAAGCAGAAGACAAGGGTAACATCACATTGTTACTAGGTCAAAAATTATGGCACAATACTTTCGGAAAAGAAGGGGCCCATGCAGCAAAGTCACATCATCTAAGAGAAGGCTCCAGAAATATGTCAAAATGCCCTAAGTGAAGAAGAGTCACATAACCTAGGAATTAGGCCTAGTTATATGTCACAATCACCCCAGTGGGCAGGACTGAGGCGTGGAACAATAATCACATTATGTAGGTCCTGAGACAGGTGATATGTCACAATCCCAAGTGACACTTGTCACTTGGGATTGTGACATATCACAATATGTGGATAAGTCTCAGAGGCAAAAGGAGAGTCACATCATCTAGTTTACCAGTGCAGGCAAATGTATACAATGTCCTCTCTGGACAGGGACCAGGCAGAAAAATCAAATCACCTGTGTGCTGGGCCTAGTGATAAGTCACCCCCTCTTCTGTGGTCAGGGCCCAGGCAGAAGAGAAGGGTAACATCACCTAGGTGCTTGGCCCAGATATGTTACAATGTCTCCTAGGGAAAAGCCCATGTAAAAGTGGAGAGTAACATAAAATAGATGATGGATCGGCCAGGCGCGGTGGCTCATGCCTGTAATCCCAACACTTTGGGAGGCCAAGGCAGGTGGATCACCTGAGGTCAGGAGTTTGAGACCAGCCTGACCAACACGGTGAAAACCCGTCTCTACTAAAAATACAAAAATTAGCTGGGCATGGTGGCGCACGTCTGTAATCCCAGCTACCTGGGAGGCTGAGGCAGGAGAATCACTTGAACCCGGAGGCAAAGGTTGTGGTAAGCCAAGATCGCGCCACTGCACTCCAGCCTGGGCAAAAAGAGCAAAAATCCATCTAAAAAAATAATAATAATAGAGCCAGGTGTGGTGGCTCACACCTGTAATCCCAGCACTTTGGGAGGCCAAGGCCAGTGGATCACCTGAAGTCAGGAGTTCGAGTCCAAGCTGGCCAACATGCTGAAACCCTATCTCTACTAAAAATACAAAAAATTAGCCAGGCATGGCAATGTATGCCTATAGTCCCAGCTACTCAGGAGGTGAAGGCAGGAGAACTGCTTGAACCTGGGAGGCAGAGGCTGCAGTAAGCCAAGATTGCACCACTGCACTTCAGCCTAGGTGAAAGAGCAAGACTCCATCTCAAAAAAAAAAAAGAAAAAAAAGGGGGCCGGGTGTGGTGGCTCACGCCTGTAATCCAAGCACTTTGGAGGCCAAGGCGGGCAGATCACCTGAGGTCAGGAGTTCAAGACCAGCCTGACCAACATGAAACCCTGTCTTAAAAAAAAAAAAAAAAGATGATGGGTCCAGAAATATGGCAAAATGTCTCCTGTAGCCAGGGTCTAAGGAGGAGATTCATATCACCTTGTTGTTAGACCCAGCAATATGTTACAATAGCCCATGTGGCACAGAAAAGAGAAACATATTACCTGGGTGCAGGGACTACTGATATGTCACAATGCCCTCTGTGGCAGCACCAAGGCAAGAGTATAGGGTCACATCATCTACATGCTGGGTCCAGCGATATGTCGCAATCCTATCTGTGTGCTGGGCCCAGGCAGGAGTCAAATCACTCATGTTCTGAGCAGTGGCATGTGTCACAATCATACCTGCAGAAAGACCCAGAAATGAGAAAACAATTCTTCACATGTCTTCATTCTAGGTATGAGAGTCAATACCATTTGGATGTTGGGTTTAAGTACAGAAGTCACAATCTCAGTGTAGATGAATCCATGCATAACAGCCTCAATCTCTTCTGCAGACTGTGTCTCCTCAGTAAAATCACAGTCTCACAGGTGTGCTGAACCTTGATCTGAGAGGCACCAATCCATCTGTGAACGACATTCACAAAGAAGAGTCACTTTTACAGTCAGGCATGGTGGCTTACACCTGTAATCCCAGCACTTTGGGAGGCTGAGGCAGGTGGATCACCTGATGTCAGGAGTTAGAGACCAGCCTGGCCAACATGGTGAAACCCTGTCTATACTAAAAATACCAAATTAGCCGGGCATGGTGGCATGTGCCTGTAGTCCCAGCTACCTGGGAGGCAGAGGTAGAACTGCTGAAACCCAGAAAGTGGATGTTGCAGTGAGCTGAGATCATGCCACTGCACTCCATCTCAAAACAAACAAACAAAAACAAAAATGAGTCAATTTTGCAACTTTCCACTGTCTCCAGGTGTGGCATCCAGAACTTCAGAAGTGGGTTGTATTTATGTTAAGGGATGACAATATTTACTGTTGGCTGGGTGTGCATGAGTGTCACAATGTCACCTATGTGCTGGGCCATGTAAGGGCACTCAGTGTGTTACCCAAGGGTACAATATGCATTAGATTCGAATCCACTCTGAGATCTTCATGGTCGCATGAACACAGGATCGTACCTGTGGCCCTAGGCCCAGATTTAAGAGTCAACATCTCTCCAACTGAATGATCCGTACAGGAGAGTCATCACCTGTTCATGGGCTATGTTTAGAAATGAGCCATCATTCCTACTCTGGCTGGATGTTTGCATATCACAGTCACAATTCCAACTGTGGACTGCATCTGCATGTGAGATTTAGGACCTCATCAATGAGCTTTGCCCATGCTAAGGTTACAATTACAACGATTGGCAGGGTGTCCATTTAAGAAACACAATCTCAGGCCGGGAGCGGTGGCTCATGCCTGTAATCCCAGCACTTTGTGAGGCCGAGGCAGGCAGATCACCTGAGGTCAGGAGTTTAAGACCAGCCTGACCAACACTGTGAAACCCCGTCTCTACTAAAAATACAAAAAATTTGCTGGGCATGGTGGCTGGTGCCTGTAATCCCAGTTACTCGAGAGGCAGAGGCAGGAGAATCACTTGAACCCGGGAAAGGCAGTTAGCCAAAATTGCACCACTGCAGCCCAGCCTGGGCAATAAGAGCAAAACTCCATCTCAAAAAGAAAGAAAGAAACACAATCGCAGCCGGGTGTAGTGTCTCATGCCTGTAATCCTAACATTTTGGAAGGTCGAGGCAGGTAGATCACCTGAGGCCAAGAGTTTGAGACCAGCCTGACCAACATGGTGAAACTCTATCTCTAATAAAAATACAAAAATTAGATGGGCATGGTGGTACACGCCTGTAATCCCAGCTACTCGGGAGGCTGAGGAAGGAGAATCACTTGAACCCCGGAGGTGGAGGTTGCAATGAACTGACATCGCGCCACTGCACTCCAGCCTGTGCTGGAGGGGTGTGAGACTCAGTCTCAAAAACAAACAAAAAAAGCCACAATCTCATCTGTGTTTTTGGCTTGTGATGATACTCTCTGTGCCACCTAAGAGCTTTTACAACATTTGAGGGAGTAGTAATTCTCTATGACCTTTGCAAAAAAAGAAAGCTTAGAATCATGTTTGTTTTCCCAAGCCTAGCTAGGCAATGTGTATCTCTTTTACTGCCTGGTTCAAGGTACAAGAATCATCATAGTGATTGTAAGCTGGGGCAAAATATATGTTACAATTACACCTATGGGTAGGGAGTGAGCAGGAGAGTCACATCACCTGGGGCTGGTCCAGGCATATGTCACAATCTTTTTTGAGGGCAAGGAGCAGGCAGGAGAGTCACATCACCTAGATGCTTGGCCAGAGATGCCTTAAAATCTCTCCCTATAAGATGGGCACAGGCAGCAAGTTACATCACCTGGGTGCTGGGCCCAGCGATATGTTACAATGCTCTCTGTGAGCTACACCCTGAGAGGTAAGACACATTATCTGGTGCCTGATCCCAGTGATATGTTACAATCTTTTTTTGGGACATGGTGCATATAGATGAGGAAAGTCACATCTTATAATTGATAGATGTCTAAATATGTCACAAGGTTCCCTGTGGGCAGGGCCCAGGCAGGAGCCTCCTATCCCCGAATGTCAGACCCAGTGATATGTAACAATATCCAAAATATGCAAGGTCCAGGCAAAAGATAAGAATTACATCATCTAAGTGCTGGGTTCAGTGATACATCACGATCCTCCTTTGGCAGGGCGCAGGCTGAAAAAAAGTCACATCACCTAGGTGATGAATTAATAAAATATGTCATAATACTCTCGGGGCCAGGGCTTATGTCAGAGACTCCCATCACCTTGGTGATAGACCCAGCTATATGTCACAATACAAAATGTATGCAAGGCCCAGACAAGATAAGACAAGAATTCCATTGTGTAGGGGCTGGGCCTAGTGATACATCTAAATCTTTTTTTTTTGGTCACAGTCCAAGCAGTAGAGATGTCATATCAACTAAATGCTGCATCCAGCAACATGTCACAATACCCACTGAGAGGAAAGTCCAGGCAGAAAAGTCACATCACCTAGGTGAAAGGCCCAGAGATATTTCCTAGTGCTATCGTTTGCAGGGCTCAGGAAGAAGACAAGAGTCAGATAACGTGGGAGCTGGTGGCACAATCACTATAGTGGGCAGGGCCTAGGCATGAGAGGAGAGTCACATCACACAGGTGCTGGGCCAAGAGACATCTCACATTTCCTACTGTGGACAGGTTCAGAAAAAAAGAGATTTATTATTTAGGTGATTGGCCAAGAGATATGTCACAGTGACTACTTGGACAGGGACCAAGCATAAGAATCACATCACCTGTGTGCTGGGCCAAGCAGTAAGTCACTCTCCTTAATGTTAGCATGACCCAGGCCCAAAGATATATTACAATCTGACCTATGGACAAAGCCCAGATAAAAAAGTAGAGTCACATAAAATAGTTGATGAGCTCAAAGATATATCAAAATATGGGCTGGGCGCAGTGGCTCAAGCCTATAATCCCAGCACTTTGGGAGGCCGAGGCAGGTGGATCATGAGGTCAAGAGATTGAGACCATCCTGGTCAACATGGTGAAACCCCGTCTCTACTAAAAATACAAAAAATTAGCTGGGCATGGTGGTGCGTGCCTGTAATCCCAGCTACTCAGGAGGCTGAGGCAGGAGAATTGCCTGAACCCAGGAGGCGGAGGTTGCGGTGAGCCGAGATTGTGCCATTGCACTCCAGCCTGGGTAACAAGAGCGAAACCCCGTCTTGGGGAAAAAAAAAAAAAAGATATATCAAAATATTTTTTGTAAGCATAGTCCAGGGCAGGAAACTCACATCACTTGGATATAAAACCCACCAATATGTCACAATGTCTTATTTGAGCAGGGCCAAGAAAAAAATAAGAGTAGTATCACTTTGGTGCTGGATTCAGCAATATTTCACAATCTTCCCTGTAGAAAAAACTAAGAAAAAAAAAAAGAAAATTAGGGCCAGGCACAGTGGCTCACACCTGTAATCCCAGCAATTTGGGAGGCCTAGGCAGGCAGATCACCTGAGGTCAGGAGTTCAAGACCAGCCTAACCAACAAGGAGAAACCCTATTCTCTACTAAAAATACAAAATTATCTGGGTGCGGTGGCGCATACCTGTAATCCCAGCTACTAGGGAGGCTGAGGCAGGAGAATCGCTTAAACGCGGGAGGTGGAGGTTGTCTGTGTCGAGCTGAGATCACGCCACTGCACTCCAGCCTTGGCAACATGAGCAAAACTCAGTCTCAAAAAATATATATATATAAAATCAGCTATGTGCTGGAAAATGTCACAAAACTTCCTGAGAGCAGAGACCAGTAAGACAGAAAGTCAAATCACCTGTGTGACTGGTGCAAAGATATTTCAAAATGTCACCCATAAGCAGGGTCCAGGCATAAAAGTTGTATCACCCGGCCGTTGGACCCAGCAATGTGTCACAAGGGCCCAAGTGGGCATATCACAAGCAGAAGAGTCACATAATGTCAGTGCAGGGCCCAGCAATATGTCAATGTCTGCTGTAGGCAAAACCTAAAACCAGGGAAGAATCCCATCAGCTAGGTGCTGGGTGTAGCAATATGCTACAATGTTCCAGTAAGCAGGGACCATGCAGAAGAAGATAGTCACACCACCTGGACGCTTGGCCCAGCAACATGTCAGCCACCATTCCAGTAATAAAGACCAAGGCAGAAAAAACACATCATTTGGTTGCTGGTCACAGCAATATGCCTCAATTTACCCTGTAGGCAGAGTGCAGGCAGAAGAAGAGAGTTACATCTCCTAGGTGAGGAAGGCAGACACATGTCACAATGCTCCCTGCAGGAAGGGCCCAGGTAGGAGACTCCCATCCTTTAGGTATCGAGCCAAGCAATATGTCACAACACACAAATATGTAGGGAATAAGAAAAGAGAGTCACATCACCTTGATGGTAGGTCTCTGTGAGCAGAGACCAGGCAGAAGAAAGTAACATCACCGGCTGGGCACAGTGGGTCACACCTGTAATCCCAGCATTTTGGAAGGCCAAGGCTGGTGGATCACTTGAGGTCAGGAGTTTGAGACCAACACGGTCAACAGGGTGAAACCCCATCTCTACTAAAAATATAAAAATTAGATGAACGTGGTGGCACATGCCTGTAGTCCAAGCTACTCAGGAGGCTGAGGCAGGAGAATCACTTGAACCTGGGAGGCGGAGGCTGCAGTGAGCCAAGATCACACCATTGCACTCCAGCCTGGGCAACAGAGCAAGACTCCCATCTCAACAACAACAAAAAGAAAGTAACATCACCATGGTGATGGGCATCACTGAGTTATATGACAAACAAAGCTTCATGTAGGCAGGATCCAGAAAGAAAGTGTTACATACCCTGGGTGTTGGACCCAGCAATGTGTAACTTTTTTTTTTTTTGAGACAAGAGTCTCATTCTGTCACCCAGGCTGGAGTGCCGTGGCGAATCTCAGCTCACTGCAACCTCCATGTCCTGGGTTCAAGAAATTCTCCTGTCTCAGCCTCCTGAATCACTGGAACTACAGGTGCACTGTAGTTCCCACTCCCAGCTAATTTTTGTATTGTTAGTAGAGATGGGTTTTTACCAGATTGATCAGGCTGGTCTTGAACTCCTGACCTAAGGTGATACACCTGCCTCAGCCTCCCAAAAGTGGTGGCATTACAGGCATGTGCCATTGTCCCCGGTCTTATATGTAACCGTTTCTAATGCAATGTATTGTGCCTCAATACGGCACAAACACGTAGGGTACAAGTGGGAGAGTCACATAACATGGGTGCAGAATCCAGTAATATTTTATAATACTCAAAATTTGTGGGGTCCCATAAAAAGAGGACTGGGTGCTGGGACCAGTGATATACTACAATCTTACCTTTGGGATGGGACCAGGCAGGAAACCGAAATCAATCAGGTGCTGGACAAAGGAGTATGTCACAATCACACCTGCAGGAAGGTCCAGTGATGAATTAACAATCCCACACAGGTTCCCGTTCGAGGTATGAGAGTCACCATATTCTTTATGTTGGGTCTAAGTACGCTACTGACAATCTCACCAATGAACTGAACCTGTGCATGAGATCCTCCATCCCTCTTGTGAACTGTGTTCGCTCTGCCTTCAGCTCAGGTATGAGAGTCAACATGTCCTTAGGAGGACATGAAGGCAGAATTTTCATTGGTTCAGATAGAAAAATTCTCATCTGCCTATGAACTAGATTTAGAAATGAGTCATTATTCAAACTCTTGCCGAATGCTCACATATGACACTCACAATTTCAACTGTGGACTGTGTCTGTACAGGAGATTCAGGACCTTACCAGTGGGCTCCATCACTATGTGAGGGTGACAATTTTAACGGTTAGTAGGTGAGCAATGAAGAAACACAATCTCACCTGTGTGCTGAACACTCTCTGTACCACAAGAGATTTATATTGTATTCAAAAAAGTGGTAATTCTTGACTGGGCATGGTGGCTCATACCTGTAATCCCAGCATTTTGGGAGGCCGAGGTGGGTGGATCACTTGAAGTCAGCAGTTCAAGACCAGCCTGGTCAACATGGTGAAATCCTATCTCTACTAAAAATATAAAAATTACCCGGACATAGTGGCATGCACATGTGATCCCAGGTATTTGGGAGGCGGAAGCAGGAGAATCACTTGAACCCAGGAGGAGGCTGCAGTGAGCCAAGATCATGCCACTGCACTCCAGCCTGGGTGACAAAGTGAGATTCCGTCTTTAAAAATAAATAAATAAAGGCCAGGCGTGGTGGCTCACACCTGTAATCCCAGCACTTTGGGAGGCCGAGGGGGGGTGGATCACGAGGTCAGGAGTTTGAGACCAGCCTGACCAACACGGTGAAACCCCGAATCTACTAAAATACAAAAAAAAAAAAAAAAATTAGCAGGGCGTGGCGGCATGCGCCTGTAGTCCCAACTACTCGGGAGGCTTGAACCCGGGAGGCGGAGTTTGCACAGATCCGAGATCGGGCCACTGCACTCCAGTCTGGGCTACAGAGCGGGAGTCTGTCTCAAAAAAACAAACAAAATTTTAACAACGGAAACTGAAGACCCCAGGGCCGCAGCCCGTCCCGCGTACACACCGAGTCAGGATTCCGCCCCGAGGACTCGCCTCTGAACAATCTGGGCAACACTCGGGGATGAGGGTGCAGAGCTGCCCAGGGAACTCCAGACAGGGCGCCACGCAGGGAAGTGGGGCGGGGGGGTGGAACGCAGGGGTCTCAGCTGAGGGCCCAGACGCCATCTTGCGGACAGAGAGGCCTGGGGAGGAGCTGCGCCAGAGGGGACTCAGGTTGGTGACCCAGGAGCGGGCGGTGGGGAGACCGGTCCCGCCGGTTTTACAGCTCGCTCCTGGCTCTCGGGAGGCCCAAGCCCGCATACTCACCATTTCCCAGCTTCCAGGATGTCCTGGCATCTTAGCTCTGCGTCTCCCAGGACCTGCAGATCACAGGGCAACGGAAGCTGTGACAAAGTCACGGAGTTGGGGTGGATACCGAGGTGGAAGAGCGGAACAGCAGAGACGGATCCCAACTTCTGGCGGGTGCGAGAGACAAAGGCCCCGCCACACGCCGGAAGCCACGCCCTCCTCTCCAACGGCGCTTCTGATTGAACGGTTCCCACGCCAGCGCCACTGATTGGATAAAGCCCCAGGAACACCTCCCACCCCCACCCTCCCCAGCATTAGTGCATTTTTTGGACGAGGAAACAGGCTCAAGTAGGCGGGATCACATGAATTACAGCTAATTAACAAGTGAGCTGAGGCTTCAAATACACTTGCTCTTTCCCTTACCCGGGTCTGCTTGTATAATGCATTTTAGTAGTTACCTAAGGGTAAGAAACAGAACATTTGGACACATGAATTATGTTGCCCAAATTTGCTCATCTTAGAAAAGCTTCACCAGATCTTTGTGAAGTGGCTATTCTCAGGGTAATTTTGCCCTGACTGTGCTGCATCTCAGTCTGACCTCTCTTTTTTTAAGTTACCGGATTGGGCCAGATGCGGTGGCTCACGCCTGTAATCCCAGAATTTTGGGAGGCTGAGGTGGGTGACCTGAGGTCAGGAGTTTGAGACCTGCCTGACCAATATGATGAAACCCCTGTATCTACAAAAACTACAGTAAATAAATAAATAAATAAATAAATAAGCAGAGCGTGGTGGCATGCGCCTGTAATCCCAGCTACTCGGAAGGCTGAGACAGGAAAATCACTTGAACCCCAGAGGCCGAGGTTGCAGTGAGCTGAGATTGCGCCATTGCACTCGAGCCTGGGCAACAAGAGCAAAATGCCATCTAAAAATAAAATAAAATTACTGGATTGGCTGGGCACCGTGGCTCGCCTCTGTAATCCCAGCACTTTGGGAGGCGGAGTCCAGTGGACCAAAAGTTCGGGAGTTCGAGACCAACCTGACCAATATGGTCATTTGTATTTTTAGTGTTGACAGGTTTTCACCATGTTGGTCAGGCTGGTCTTGAATTCCTGACCTCCAGTGATCTGCCTGTCTCGGCCTCCCAAAGTGTTGGGAATATGGGTATATCAAATTATTGAAATTGAGAAGCCACTCCCCTGAGACTCTGGGGCAGTAACACAAAATAGATGATGGGTCGACCATACCCGGTCGACCCATCATCTATTTTGTGTTACTCTCCACTTTTACATGGGCTTTTCCCTAGGAGACATTGTAACATATCTGGGCTAAGCACCTAGGTGATAATACCCTTCTTTCCTGCCTGAGCCCTGATCACAGAAGAGGGGCTGACTTATCACTAGGCCCAGCACACAGGTGATGGCCAGAATACAGAGCCAGATTCATGGTACCTAGGATCCACACATAAGGGCTGACATCCACCTGGGATTCACAAGAAAGGACCAGACTTTGGATCTTGTCCAGTGAGCTGTTGTGGTTGTGTGAGGGTCTCCTGGTGTAAGCTGAATCTGGTGGCAGAATCTCTTAAGCGCAAAGAAACACGGGAGCAGAGGGAGGGCAGGGCCACAACTGTCCAGAGCCATGAAGACAACGACATCTCCCATGTGTGAATTGTATTACTAGAGAAAGGCATTCTTGTCCTTGTACCCAGCGGATAATTGAGCAGGTATAGGTAATATCAGATCTGGATTGAAACTTAAAGGCTGTTCTTTTCTCTTTTCTTTTTTTTTTTTTTTTTTTTTTTTTTTTTTTTTTTTTTTTTTTTTTTTTTTTTTTTTTTTTTTTGAGACGGAGTTTCGCTCTTGTTACCCAGGCTGGAGTGCAATGGCGCGATCTCGGCTCACCGCAACCTCCGCCTCCTGGGTTCAGGCAATTCTCCTGCCTCAGCCTCCTGAGTAGCTGGGATTATAGGCACGCGCCACCATGCCCAGCTAATTTTTTTGTAGTTTTTAGTAGAGACGGGGTTTCACCGTGTTGACCAGGATGGTCTCGATCTCTTGACCTCGTGATCCACCCGCCTCGGCCTCCCAAAGTGCTGGGATTACAGGTGTGAGCCACCGCGCCCGGCCTCTTTTCTCTTTTCTTTTTCTTTTCCCCTCCCTCCCTTCCTCCTTCCCTCCCTTCCTTCCTTTCTTCCTTCCTTTTTTTTTGGTTGACAAATGCTGTTTATTGTTCTGTTACACAGAAAAGTATAGTTTCTGAGGCAAAAAACATACACGCTCTGCTCCTCACAAAGCTACTGAGTCACTAGGGCAGGCACACAATGGTCACACATGCTTGGTGGAGGCCACGGACTCATGGATGCCGAGGATGGGCAATGGGGTGGTCTGGCCCCCAAACAGGCTGTGCAGTGCCTGGGGACAGGGCTGGACTGGGAAGGCCAGGATGGATGCAGAGGGCCGCTGGGTCCCTTCTCATGTTTCTCAAATGCAGAAAGTCTGCCAGGCTTTGGTGGCTGCTGGAAAGGCCCCAGCCCAGGGCAGGGCCTCCAGGTCCCAGGACAAGGCTAGCCTGCATGTGTGGGGGTAGAGGAGAAAGTGGGGATGGTGGAGCCAGCTGCATGCCTAGGTCTGGGAACAGGGGCTATGCCCTTTTTGGCACTCTTGTGAGTGCAGCTCCTCAAAGGGGGTTTCTGAGTTTCTAGGCCTCTTGGCATCCTAAGGAGCATGTGGAAGGCAGCCTTGCTTCTCACCAGTGACAGACGGGGCCACCCAGGCATCCCCTGCCTCGCTTGGCCCCAGGGACACAGCAGATGCCTGCGACAGATGATGGGCTGCCCTAGAGCTGAGGCCTGTCCCTGAGAGGAGGCTGTGACAGGATTGCTGTCTTACACAATTACCCTGAAATTTCTCTCAGAGCAAGTGCTCCTTGTCACATCCCAGATCATCCATTGGCAAGACTGTCACTTACACACGGTTTTCAGAGAACTCTCTAATACAGAATGCAAGGGTTGGGTGGCAGGAGTGAGGGCCTGTACAGATAAACGCAGGTGCACTGTACAGGGCTGGGGAGTCCTGGGGGTCGCCTCAGGTGGCCAGAGGCAGTGACAGTGCTGCCAAGGTGGGCTGCTGCCACCCAGAGCCCACATCTTCTGGCTGCCCCAGAATCTCAGGGGAGTGGCTTGAAGGCAGCCCAGGTCTCCTGCACCCAGGACATGTGCCTAAACTGGCAGCAGTTATGGCTGCTCCAGCTGGGGCTGGTACACATACCGTATACTGGGACTGCAAAGGGACCCTCAGAAGGAATACAGCACAGAGCCTCCCACCCTATGCCACCCTAGCTAAGTTGGGCCCAGACCACTACACCCCCTGCTAATCCTTTGGAGCCCCAGGTTCACTCATAGGCAACAGTCAAGGCTGAGGCTGCAGGTGGCGGTTGGGGCTATCCCCAGATGTTTGAGAAGGGAGCAGAGTAGCTGTGTCCCCCAAGGCAAGGCTGTTCTCTTTTTTATTCTGGCCCCACTGAGTCAGCCTGAGTCTCCACTGTTTGAGTAACTATTGGAGCATCAGCCCAGGGCCACTGCGGATCCTCTCACTAACACCTAGGAGTCTTTTTTTTTTAAAGATGGGGTTTCACCACGTTGGTCAGGCTAGTCTTGAACTCCCGACCTCAGGTGATCCGCCCACCTTGGCCTCCAAAGTGCTTGGATTACAGGCGTGAGCCACCACACCCGGCCCTCACCTAGGAGTCTTTGAGACATTTGGGGATGTCCTGTGCAGACGGCGGTCAGGCTGACAACAGAATCCAACCTTCCTCCCATCTCAGAGAAAGAATGAGTAATCCAGGGCTTGTTTCTCCCCTCACAGAAGCAATCTCCTTTTTGGTGTCCAAACGGAAGTTGCTTCCATTTTCTGATACCTGGGGGAAGAACAAATAGGAGGTCTGGAGACTCAAACTGATAGGTTAACAAATGGCTTCCAATCCCTTTGGCCATGAGGCGAAGCACTCATGGATCCAAACATCCAAGAATTTTTATTGTAGAGCCAAAGAACAAATCACTGAATTAAGAGTAATGTGATCAGAACTGCATATCACTTGAGGTCAGGAGTTCAAGACCAGCCTGGCCAATATGGTGACACTCCATTGCTACTAAAAATACAAAAATTAGCCAGGTGTAGTGGTGGGCACCTGCAATCTCAGCTACTCAGAAGACTGAGACTGGAGAATCTCCTGATCTCAAGAGGTGGAGGTTACAGTGGGCCGAGATCACACCAGTGCACTTCAGCCTGGGCAACAGAGTGAGACCCTGTATGAAAAAAAAAAAAAAAAAGAAAAAGAGTAACGTGACCAGAATAAAGAAAGGAGTTGTATAGAGGATTTTGGCTTCATCCGGGACACTGCTCTTATGTTCTTTTTGCGAGTACTGATGTCACCACCTGAAAGGCTACTCATGGATTGAAGAGTTCTTGTTATTGTTATTATTGCTATTGCTTTCCCCTTATTTAGTTTCTGGGCCGGGCGTGGTGGCTCACGCCTGTAATTCCAGCACTTTGGGAGGTCGAGGCACACAGATCACGAGGTCAACAGATCGAGACCATCCTGGCCAACATGGTAAAACCCCGTTTCTACTACTAAAAGTACAAAAAATTAGCTGGGCGTGGTGGTGCGTGCCTGTAGTCCCAGCTACTTGGGAGGCTGAGGCAGAAGAATTGCTTGAAACCCGAAAATGGAAGTTGCAGTGAGCTGGGATCACGCCACTGCACTCCAGCCTGGTGATAGAGTGAGATTTGGTCTCAAAAAAAAAAATTTTTTTTTCTAATATAATTTTTCTAGAAAGACCTACATGTTTTTGTTAAATTGATTGTTATTGTATTATGCAAAATAGATAGGGTTGAGGCTTAAACTGTTAAAACCAGAAACATTCTGGGAGTCAAGTTCTTGTTGGTCAGGTTTAGAACAGAACTGAAAATAAATCAGCAGCATAGAGATGAGAAGCTGAGGGCCAGCTCCCTGTCCCAGCCCCACCTGGCTCTACCCCTCTTCTGAGCCTTGTCCAGGTCTTGCCCCACCCTGAAATCTTCACAGAACTGATTAGAGGAGATCAGACTTTTGTGTGGCCACTCTTCCAGGAGTCTCTTCAGAGCTGGAGGTCACAATTTCCCCAAACCCAAAGGCAGATCAATGGGAGTAAAGAGCCTTATTTGG